TCTCTTTCGCTCTCTCTGCCTAATCTTTGTCTTTTTAACTAATTCAAGTTCTTGATTTCTTTGCTGTGCTTGAGTAATTTGTAAAAATAGTGTAGAGAGTGTAAAGATGTTCACGGAGGGTTCAGATGAAAATGCAATCAACTGGATCAAGAAGGGGACGGATACGGATCAAGAACCCTGCATTAGATCTCCCTTTAACAAGAATCTACCTCTTGATACATTTCTGAAATCTTCTCTTTCCTACAATACTCCCACTGCTTTCATGGCTCCTCATGGGCTGCCACCATTGAGATTCCACTTTGCCTTCTTAACTCCTCACAGCCTTGCGGCTTCTTGCCTCGATGATGAAGACAAGAGAGTGATGATTCAGTTTCTGATGGTGCCCGTGGTAGCTTCTCTGTGCGTAAAGAAGAGGAGGAGGAGGTTTTGGGACCTAGACAGGATAATGATGAAGAGGAGGTTCTTGGTAACAAGTATAGGTCAAAGTTAAATGGAGGGTTCTTGAAGGAAAAGAATTTGAGGATTGAGATCCCTGGCAGTAACAGAAGATTAACAGATGGCGAGTTGGGGATGAGGAAATTTGCCATCAAGAATTTGTTCCCAGGTGGTAGCGCTCGGCTTGGAGAAGGAGTTCAATCACCCAATGCCCAGTTAAGAATTTTGGTATCTTTCTACACTTTATAAGGAAAAAGATACATTAATTTTTTTATAGACGTTAAAATTTGACTCATGAACTACTGCAGTTGGTGATCAATAGTGTAAAATAACAGAGTTGCCATATATATAATACGTATATATATACATTATATTATCATTTGGTGTCCAATTTATTATTTAGTCTGTAAAACATTCCTTCCCAGACAAATAAGATCTTGAACACCCTGATCTTATAGTATGAATTGTAAAGATGGGAATTGCCCTCATCTTAACCTTGTTATCCAATCAATCCTTGAAAAGGATTGTGCTAAAAGTGTTGGTTTTTATGACAAGTTGACATTGGTAGTAATTTTATAGGGATCTTGAATTCTTGGCTTACTTAAAAGTAGAAGATCTTGGTGTTGAATTGAAATTGATGTTTCCTATAGAACTATATCAATCTTTTAAAAGCTTTATTTTTAAGATAATTCATTGTGCTGGAAATTGATGAGTTGTACAGGTTACTCCTGTCGACTCTAAAAGCATTCATGTAGAGGTAGAACATATGGGTACACCAAGTGCACCACCTATAATTGAGACTGAAAGAGAAGTGAAGAGCTTTGCAGAAGTTGAGCAACATGAAGTAAGAATTTCCAAGGAGAGAGAATCAGAATTTGATGGTAGGAAAGAATGTTCAGCAGATGATAGCAAGATGCAAGCTTTAAAAGACACTGGTAGCGAGAGGTGACAGCTGGCTCTTTTTCTTCCGTGCTCAGTACAGTGCACAGTTAGCACCTTTTGTTTATGACTTGCCATTAATTCCAGGCGTTTAAGTTTATTGAATTGGCCTTTTGCAGTACAAAAAATACCACAATTGAAGGAGGAGTGCAAATCCATTATTGGCAAAGCTGCCTGGATCATTCACCTTGCTACAATACAAGGTGTATTATGCATCTGAAATTCAATTTGCTCTAGTCGATCCACTTTTATAGTCTGATTTTATTTTACTAGAGCATGATACGGTTACCACAAGTGAAAATTTGATGTTTACCAGTGCTAATTTAACCGGCTTAAACTGGTAGATCCTGAATGTAATTTTGCTTCTCAGTGCTAATTTAACCGGTTTAAACTGGTATACCTTGAATGTATTTTATGAAGAAAATTTCTTGATAACCTTCTTCTGCGAAGTGCCTTTGGGTAGGTTGTCTGATGCTTACCTGCTTATGAAATTCATTGAACTTGCATGGCTAGGTTAAGTCTAAACGGTGGTCTCTCATATTCTTATATAGATTACACAAATTTTTGTTCCAACCTCGAGGCATGCAAATGACAGAATTGAGGACTGGTAAGCATTCAGAACAAATGTGCGCAGCGACAGGAAAGAAGGTGGTTGGAAAAATAAGAGTGGAAGGTAAGACATTTTTGTGCGATAGTGGTTATCTCACGTATCAATCATTTATACATTTATGGACACCTGTTGTAATTATTTCTCTTTATAACTAAGTTTCTTGCTTGAAAATTGGTTTGGATATATATGTTTGCATGTACTTAGATCTAGTATACATATATTTAGATTTGGTTTAAAATTAATTAGGAAAAGGGATTAAAATGTCATAAAGTTCACTCATGCTTTCAATTACTATTGGATTATTTCAGTGAGGAAACTTCGAATAATACCCAGGTGGAAACTTAGGAGCACTCATTCATTACGAGGTGCAATGAACATGCAAGAGTGAGCAGAATATGTTCAATATGTTTCTTCACTAGTGAAAACTGAGATGAATTCTCTTAAACTAGCCTCCTTGTCTATGAAGACAGTAGATTCAGAAGGTTTGTTTTATTATCTACAAATACGTTTAAAAGTTCAACCATAATGTTGCTGTGCTTTTGTTTTGGAGATGGTAATAAAAAGCTATGATCATTAAAATTCTGTAACAACTTAGCAATAGTCCATCTGTGTAGCTTTCTTATTACAACTCCATATGATATAAAAAAGATTATGACAATCTTGTATATCCCTGAAAGCATGCATGGGTTGATCATTCCCAGTATTACTTGTATGGACTGCATACTTCTTTTGGGGTTTTGTTGGTACTGACTTTTATGGCTGACAAAATAATCTTTTCATTTTTGCAGATTTCGATTAAAACATGATACATTGGGAGATAAAAGATTACGAGTAAATATCTTATTGATAGTATTTAGATTCGATATTTTTATGACTTAGAAGAGTGAATCTTAAGATTTTGAGATCATAGGAATCACGCATATGTTTGGAAGAGCTAAACCATTATGTTGATTTGAGAACAAGCTTTATGAGAAAATAAAGTTGTCGAAACTATATTATCACTCTATTAAGGACTGGTTCAAAGTATAAAAATAGACAACACGATTGTAAGAATTATCTTCCCATTTAAGAACCCAAGAGGAGGTATGTTATCATCTATTGAAGATTATAATCAAATCATATTCCTAAAATAGCTTCCTAAACAAAGTAAAATAATACCCTCAAAACCTTCGAGATAAGAATAGACAAGTGTATTGGGGAACATGACCAAACCTGTCAGGCGTTGAACCAACATAAGGAAATATATGCCAATTGAGATTGAGTTGAATAAGTTGGCATCCTTAAAAATAGAAGAAGACATCTTTATCCATTATGTTAACTCCCTGAGAAAGATAAACCCTTGTAAACATGTCTGGATAGTAGAAAGCCAAAAGATAACTGCCAATTGTAATTGCTCATGGGAATATATAAATTTTAGAAAGGTAAAAGATAGCATCTCTCTCTTTCTCCCTCTCTCCCACTTTTTCTCTCACTCTCACTCTCTCTTTCTCTATCTCTATCCCTC